GCGCACTCCGGCGGCGGGCCTTCCGGTCTGGGGCGGGGCCCTAGGTAGGGGTGGGGCGCACTCCTGGGGCCTGGCCTCAGGCCCTCTGGGCCCCTGAAGACCTTGTCGGGATCGCGGCGCAGCGTTTAACCTTATCGGTCCTCTCGTTTGCAGGCCGTGAAGAGCGCCCGCCCCGTGGCCGAGCCCAACCCGGGCTTCTGGTCTCAGCTCCAGAAGTACGAGGAGGCCCTGCAGTCCAGGCCCCGCCCCTGCCCAGGGAGCCCAGGGAGCCCAGGGAGCCCTCGGGACTGAGCCCTGGTGGGTCAGCCCAGCCCCAGCAGGGCGCTCAGGAGTTTCCTGGGAAGAGGTAGTTCACGCACTGACGGGAGGGTTGTCATTCCTCCCACGGAGTTTTCATTTTTCGCATTTGCCCTAAATGCAGCTCTTTTGACTGCGCTTCAGGGACATGTCCCTCCCCAGGTTAGCCTCAGTTTATTAGACCAGGCTTGGTCAGGAAAATCAAAACTACGTGAATTTTAGACAGACATTTATTTATTCATTTATTATTATTATTTTTTTGGTGGAGGATGCGGACATTGATCAGTAAGACATTTATTACGGGAGACTGAGACCTGGCAGCCACTGTCAGGAGATGGGGAAGTTCGGGAGTCAGAGACCAGCCACCCTGATCCTGGCTGCCAGCCACTCTAATGTGGGTGACTCTGGGAGGACACCCGGGGCTGCTGGCAAAGCCTCATCCCTGCCCGCTGCTCGAGCCATAGTGGCTTGTCCCCAGCCTCACACTGGCCCCATCTCAGGACCCAACACGGGACTGGGCCGGCGAGGGCTCACAGCTGCTAGACTTGTAGCTGCTGCGACACGCAGGCAGGGGTGCGAGGCTGCTGACAGACCGCCCAGCACCGGTGACCTCGGCGCTCTCAGCGTCCATACCCGCCTCCTACCTTCCCTCCCGGGTTCAGCAACAGCCTTGAGCGTGGGCCTGACATCCTGCAGGTAGCTGCTCACCCGCCAACCACGCACCAGCCACCTGTGCATCTGGGTTCATTCTTCTGGTTCAGGCGCACCTCACCTGGACATCCTGTGGGCTATAAAGACTATGCTAGAAAATTTCCACCATCAACACTTCCTAAATAAGATGGCGGGGAAAAGAAAAGCAAAAATTGGTTAATACACATGAATTTCAGATAATATACTTCCTGGTTAATATATTGATAACAAGATGACGAATAAAACGCCGTAGCTGGCGTTTTCATTTCCCTCTCCCACTGCTGATTCCATGTTCCCTCCACCTCGGCCAGCTCCTTGCTGGTGCCGGTCTTCCCTGGCGGAGTGACTCAAGCCTTCACTTTGCAGGGCCCTGAGCGGCGGTGCCTGCATCCATGCTGTGGCCTTTGTGTCCTGGGCTCCAGCATGGTCCTCGGAGCCCCACTGCCCCATGAAAGTCACTCCACCCGGCAGAGCAACCCGATTTGCCCGATGCATCTGGAGTGAGGTGGTGACTCAGCCTCCCCGCCAAGGGAACGTGGTGTCCCTGGCTGGAAGCATCTCCCCTGGGTATGAAGCCCTAACCCAGCAGAAGTCCCAGCTGCAGGGACTTTGTAAGGCAGCAGAGTGGTCTTGAAGGGGCTGCCTCCTCCCCG